CAAATGGGTGGAGAAGAGGCAAGACTCTGGGCACGGAGAGACACGATGAAGACAGTGAAGTTCCCAGGCTAGCCCACTAAGGCCTGCTGAGCTCATCTACCATGAGAGATTGGAGGAAGCAATGCTGTTACTATACTTGTTGCTGTAACCGGTCCAGGAAAACATCATGGAATAAGAAATGTCTTTTAATTTAACTTGTCTGGCGCTGTTTGAGGAAAAAGGGGTTCCAATTACTGACGGGTGAGAAGGTCAGTACAGACTAGGGTGAGGTTTGAAGGGGCCTCAGGGGCTTTAAGGCTGGAGCACTGTGTTCATTCTCATTTCCCTCCAGAACTTACGACTTTAATTTACCTGAACAGAAGAATGCCCCAGCATTGTGCTGTGCCTGTGTTTAGCTGCTCAGAAAGACAGTCAGAGGGTTGCAGGTGGCACTGGTGTGTGGGGTGGGTGGGAGCTGGAGAGGAGTTGGAGAGGAGTTGAAGGGGAGTTAAGGAGGGCGTGTGGCTAAGAGGGAGAAGGAGAGTGAGCAGGGACTGAAAGGTCTGAAGGGAAGGAGGGAGGAGGAAGTAATGATGGAGAGGGAATGGTGCAGCCTTCCTTGGGGAAGGGGGAGTTAAATATGGGAAATGGAGGCGGGGTGGTAGTGAAGTGAGAACATGTGTCTTCCTGAGGGACTGGAAAAAGGCTCTGGGGAACAGATGAGCATTAAGCTGCTGGGAGCAAATCAAATTCAAAATCCAAACATCTGTAAGAACTCATGAGATTTGTGCTGGGAATCCCGGATGTGGAGGCGGAAGCGGAAAGTGTGTGTGTGTGTGTGTGTTGGGGGGGGGATCCTGTATCACGTTCCCAGCCTTTAGCAGCCTAAACAGAGGTATATTCCTTCCTGTCTCTCCACCCATTTACCAGTCCCTGCCCACCCCCAATACATTTGCCTGTGAGAAATTCAATCCTTGATCCACAGTCCAATCCTATCCCAGCTCACCCTCCTCAGAAAGCTGCAGGCTGCCCCCATCTGACATAGCCCCCACTTGGCTCTGGGGCTGGTGGCCCAACAGCTTCCAATCCTAGGCTGCTCCTGTTCCCTTCCTACATCCTGAACTTCTGCAATTCCCTCTTCAGTCCTCTCTACCAGCCAAAATCTTGGATTTCACTGTAGATCAAAGGTCTCTCTATCTACTCTACCTAGAGTCATCTTGCTCCCTCTTTTAGCCCCGAAGCATCATGTAGGACCCAAAGGAGGCTGAATGATTCCGCACCCCAACCTCTCCCAGGGCCTATTTCTAAGCCACATCCCTCTTCATGTCACATCCTCATGGCCCTACACACAATCCAATCCACCTGTTGCCCTTCGACCTGGGCATGGGGTCCCACTATGCTCCTCTATGCCTCAAAGGACATCACCATAGCTCTTGTCCAATCATGCCCCACACCACAGGGCCAAGGGGATGTAAACCCCCACAAAGCCTCATCCCATTTTCAAACTCTAGGAATTCCTTGCCGGAGCCTCCCTCTAGCCCTTCCCCTGAGCCTACAGTGCTCAGATGGAGCTCTACACAGAGTTTGGGGTTCTGTGGTTGTCTATGTTGCTGTGTGGGATGCAGCAGGGGTGGGAGAGGGAGGCGGTGGACCACGTGGGGGCCTGAGGCCACAACATGTTCCACACAGAACTCTAAAGGGTGGAAAAGGTCTGAATTCAACCTGGCCTTCCAGGTCTTTCCAAATGGGTATTTGTCAAGGTGGGAAGATAGACCACGTTCTACTTAACAGTGATTTAGTCTGATCTGTGACTTTTAAATAATTGGACGCATGTGTGGTATGAGGACTCCTTCGACTCTTGTCCCAGGCCTGCCCAACGCCACACTTACTGAGTAATGGAGATTTCTCTGAAGCTATCCCAGAGGAAGAGGGGGGAAAACATTGCATGTCACAAAGCAAAACTTCATAAAAGTTCTATTTAGCCACCTCTGCCCCTCAGTTTCTCTCCTTCCTACAGCCCGCTCATTCCCTTGCTTGGTCTCTCCTCCTCACTGCACTGTCCCTGCTACCTCTGCAAATCCCCCCAGGAGTCCCATCCTTGCTGAACGAAAGCCCCACATCTGGCTAAACAGCTATCTTGCCAAAATGGCTTGCTCTCCTCCATTCATCCTACTTTCTGCCATCACAGAATGCTTTCTACACAGCTGCCTATGTCTTTGAACCATCCCTGCCACTAGACAGTGAGCAACTTGAGGACAAAGATTGTGTCTGGGTCAGCTTTGTGACTCTTCCAGAGCCTTCTTCTTTGAGAACATTCATGCAAGGAATTTTCATGAAAGAATTCATGGAGAAGTTGGAAACTGAGTTGGCCCAAAATAGGTAGAATAGGAAAAATAAAGTCAGAAGAACAAAGGAGCTCCAAGTAGAGGCAAAAGGAGGAGCAATAGTAGGTTCCCCTTCCCCATGTCCTGTGGGCAAGAGTGAGCTATTGAAGATTCTTGATCTAGGGCATGACAACATTTTAGGAAAGTCAATCTGTGCAGGCTGTAATGGAGTGAAAGACAGCAAGTGCAAGGAGGAAAGGAAGCTGTTGTCATGACACAGGTATGAGGCACTAGATGTCTCAGGGTAGGATATGAAGGCAGACAGACTGATGCAGGAGGCAGTACTTTGACCAGGTAAAACGACTTGCCCAAGACTACATGGATCAGATCAGGGCTTCTAACCACCCCACCTTCTCTATCCAGGGAATCAGACCTATCTGTCCAAGTATGAGCTCTTCTTCCATGAAGCCTCCCACTCTCCCTCTTCCCTCCTCTGCACCTCCATGGACAGGTTATCAGTCAATACATTCACAGATAATAGCTGTGAATTTGGCCTTGTCATGTAACCCCTGTGGGGCCAAGTTTTATCCTCTGGGATCAAAGTGATGAAAGTATTTCCCATGGGGCTTTTGAGAGGATCGAATGAGGGGGGTATCCAGAGCCCAGCAGGCCTTCTCCTGAGTGAGAGGCTGTCTCCCTGCAAATTCCCTGACAGCAGGACAGGATCAGTCACATCTGGCTTGTCTGTGTCTCCAGGGGACCACCAGCGCCCACTAGGCTCATTTGTTTATGAGTTCCATGAATAATAGCACTTGCTGCATGCCAAGCCCTGTAGCAGAATCTGGGTGGAGGGATAAATAAAGTCAAGGGGCCCCTGGAGATGCGGTAGAGGATTGGGGCTGAGATCCCAAGAGTACCGTAGAAGGAAGTGGTGGTCTCAGTCAAATCAGAATATCTCAATCAAATCACAGCCAGCTGAGATGAACTGACTTGTCCCATCTGATCCCCATGACAACATCATTCAAAGATGAGGCGGCAGTACCTGAGAAAATCCCATGGTCAATAAGTCATGGGGCGGGGCCTGAGCCCAAGCCCCTCACTTTTCAAGGAAGGGGCTCACAGCAAGCCCCTCAGAGATCCCCAACTCCACTGCTCACCAGCCTCTGTCTCTGCCCTGTCTTGTAAGTTAAGAATTTCCAGGCAACATCTATACATTCATTCACTGGGCCATCAGGAGCCCCTGAGCTCCAGGGTATTTTTAGCTCTTGGTGGCCAGGCCCAGTTGGTGACTGGCAGCAAGCGGAGCCCTCTGTGTTGCTCCTGGCTCAGCATAAGAGGTGGCTAGGCAAGGAGAGGGGGCCCGGGAATACCTTGCACCCCTGGTCCACAGCTGCCTCATTGTCCCTTGGGGAGGAGCTGGGCTGCTGCTACGGCCACTGACTGACGCTAGGAGCATTCTTTCCTGTTGATTCATCACTAGGAATGTTTTGGGCCCAGCTGGGGTGGGGCAGGGCCACTGAGGGGGACATCTCAGATACAAGCAGCCAGAGGCAGACAGCAGGTCCTTGGCACCAGACTCAGTGTGCCCTGGCCCTCACCCAGGGATCACAAAGGTGGACCCTGCCATCCCTGCCCTTATCACACTCTGCCTTGAGGTGCACTTGTTTGCACATCTGTCTCTCCCACCAGACTGGGAAGGCCCCCTACCAGTGTCTAGCACTCCAGCCCCCTGTCTAGCACATAGGGGAAAATCAATAATGGTTTGCTGAATGAATGAGCCTTTGCAGGACATTCTGGCACAGGGCCAAGATGGGGAACCCTCCTGGACTGGCTGCTCTGGGCCTAGGGAGGAAACTGGGAGGCAAGAACCCTGTGCCCATTTCACAGACAGAAACATGAATGCACTGAGGGGGACCAGGACTGTGGGAAAGAACAGAGGGCTGGGGCTGGGATTCAGGCACCTAGGCGCTCCTCCCACTGCTGGGACACCCCCTCTCGCAGCCATTTCCACATTTGTTTTATTCTTCAGTCCCACCAACCCAGCTTCCCTCCATTCACACCCTCTCCCCTGAGCCTGACATTATGAAAGGTGTAGTGGAGGGTTTACGTTCTCTCCTGTACTGTGACCTGAGGGGAACTAGTCGTGTCTCCTGGGGCTCAGTGTTCCCAACTGCACAATGGGAGGAACAAAGCTTCACTCCCAGGGAGCATTCCATAAATTTCGGGGACCAGGGCATGGAGAGGAGAGAGAGGGTTATCGGAGAATTTAAGGGGCGTCTGCATTGACCTGCATAACCAGCTCATGGGCTCGGGACCTGAGACGTGAAGGGCACTGTGCTGGGGTCTAAGGGGACTCTTCAGGATGGGCACGATCACCCACTTGGCAGAGGAGAAAACTGCGACCAAAGAGGGACTCCGTCGGTCCCCTGCGGCAGCCGCCCACGCCGCCGCGCTCCCCAGGGAACGGCGGCCCTGGAGCCCGCACTCCCCGGCTGGGGACTTCCCGGCCTGGCGGGTCCCGAGCCGCGCGCCTGGCGAAGGGCGGGCGGGGCGGGGCGTCCGCGCTCGGCGCTCCCGGGGCGGAGCCTGCGGCCTCCCCGAGGCGGGCTGGGCCCGGGCCGGCAGCCGCGGATAAAAGGCCCCCAGGGCGCCGGGGGAGGTCCGTTAGCGCTGCTCCGCCGCGGCGCCCGGCCCAGCCCCGACCGTCGGCGATCCAGCTGGTGAGCTGCCGCCTGGCCCGGCCCCTGGCCCTGGGTTCTGCCTCTTGCTGTCTTCTGTCGGTCCTTCTGTCTCTTTAGGGTCTGCAGGCTTCTGGGGATTCCTGGAGGCTGGGGACTGGCAGGACTGGGGGTCCCCTGGACAGTCGGCCTGGCCCCCGAGTGGCTCACAACCCTCTTCCAACTGGACAAGTGACCAACTTGGGAAGGTTGGCCCAAGGCCCGTGTGGGTGGTGCGCCCTGGCCCCCAGGGTGCCTGCGTGTCGGGTTTGTGGTCATGCCATGTGTAACTCGCCCAGGAAGGGGACAGGGATGGGGCAAGTTGGCTTCGGATATCACTCCTGTGACTTGGGGGACTAGGAGCCAGAATAGAGCTGGGCTTTCCAGCTAACCAATCCAGAGCGTTAAGGAAGGAGGCAGAGGACCCAGCCTTCCCTAGCTCCCACATGTGGAACTCAGAGCCCATTTGCTGGCACTGCTCCAGGCCCAGAGTCAGCGCTCTTAGGGAGGGGACAGGGCCCAGAGGGGAAGCCCCACCCCACTGAGCTACAGAGAAGGGGCTGCAAGTGATCCCAAAGCTGGTGTCCTGAAGATATCCCCTCATGCTCTCTCTTGCATTCCCTTGGGCATTTGCCTCCCCCGTACTCCCCACTAGGCCAGGAACCAGAGCCCCTGGCAGCACCTGGAGCAGGTGCCTCTCTTCCTCAAGATGGGAAGGTCCTGAATCTGTCACTTGGTGGCACTCAGTGCTAGCACCCACCCCTGTGTCCTCGTGCCACAGCCTGGGTGGTAAATCAACCAACAACAGGGTACAATTTCACTCACTCTTTCTCCTTTCTTTCCTCTCTCCCCTTCTCTTCCAACATCCATCACTGTGTGGTTTTGAAAGCCCGGCCTGTAGCCAGGCTGCCTGCTGGAATCCTGGCTAGGCAAGATTCTTCACTTCTCTCCTGATCTTCTCATCTGTAAAGTAGAGATGAGTATTCAATAAATATTTCTAAATATATCCTATTATTATCATCACCTCCCTTCTCCCCCTCTCTTCTCCTTCCTGTTCCTTCTTCCCTGTCTCCTCCTTTGCTTAGATAAAAAGCAACCTCTGAGGCTGCCTCTGTCTCTTAGGGCTAATTCTCAGCCCAGTCCTCATCCTGTGCTCAGATATGGGGAGATCATTGTGAACTCATGAAGCAAGTAAAGTGCTAGGAAGGCAAGAGACTGGGAGAGCTTACTGCAGGGAGTAGCATTTGAGCTGGGTGTTGAAGGATGTGTAGGAGTTTAACAATCTGAGATAGAGGGAAAGTACACTCCAAGTAGAAGGAGAAGTGAGAGCAAAGGCATGGAGGTGGGAGATGAAGGTATGTTTGGGAAATGGTGAGAAGATTAATTTGGAGTGAGCAAAAGCTACAGGGGCCCTCTGTGGGTGGGAAGGCTGAGAGGAAGGGCTGTCCCTGCATCTGATGTCCTCTGCTGCTGCCAGCTTGCCTCCTGGCAGCTTGCATGGAAGGAGGCTACCCTGGCTCAGAGCCTAGGGTCCTCTAGCAGAAGCCCATCCCAGCCCCAAGCAGAGAACCTGCTAGCATGGAACTGTCCAGGGACTCTAATAGCCCTCCTCTGTGCTGGGGGGACTTCAGCCACTAGCCAAACAGCAGGCCTGCCCAGTCCACCCTGGGAACCACGAGAGTGTGTCACCCCCTAGGACCACCCCTCCCCTCAATTTTACAGGGGAGTGAGACTCAGGGAGAGGAAAACTCCATCCTGAGGTGGTGGGAAGAGTAAGGTCCTCTTTCAGCCCAGGCCCAATGTGACCACTGGTCCTAACAGTGAAAGGCCCTGAGCACAATCCTTCCCAAGCCCTCCGTCATCTGAGGACCATTCCTCCTGCAGTGACTTTGGTGTGGCTCAGGTGTGGAAAGAGAAGCAGTGGAGAGCACTCTGCTGATGGTGACACCAAGTTGGGAGCCCCCTGGGTTGCTAAGTGTGTGTGTGGGGTGACAGCAAGAAAGCAGTGTTAAAGTCTGGAAAGGAGGCACAGGAGGAATAAGTGGGAAGAGACTGTGGCTGTGAGAGTGAGAAGGGGGCAGCCAGCCTCGGGGAGTGCACGGAGGGGTTCTGACCTCAGTAGTGTGGGTAACGGGGACGGGAGCAAACCTACAGAATGCTGCAGAAAAGAGACCTAAAGTTGAGATGGGACACTGCCTCCGTTTTCTTCTTTGTACAGAAAGGGGGTGAGAGCAGATGTTACACCACATCTGTAAATAACAGCTCACTGCAGTGGAGAGCCTGCTCTTCTGAGGGCTTAGCATGTGGTCGGTCATTCACTAAGCATCACAGCAGTCCTATGCAGTAGGTGCTACTGTTGCCCCCATTTTATAGAAGGAGACACTGAGGCCACAAATTACCTAGACTAAATGGGGGAGGTAGAATTTGAACCCAGGCAGTCCAACTCCCCAGTGTGTACTTAAGCCCAGTGCCAGGGCCACCCTTTGATGTGGCCTAAACCCCTCATGGCCGCCCCACTTCCTACAAGATAAAAAGCAAACTCCCTTCAAGTGCTCAGGGTCCTCAATCATCTGAGCCCACCTGCCCCTCCATCTCCTTCCCCTCCAAGCCACCAACACCGCAGTATGGGGGTAAGAGAAGGGTTTCCTTGCTCTTGAACAATCTTCCCTCTTCCTTCTTTTACCCCTCCTGTCCTCCCTACTTGGAATGCCCTGTTTCCCACCCAGGAGAACTCTTAGTCATCTGACAAGGCCTTCCCTGATTCCTCTTCTCTGTGTGTCACATTTGATGCCTTCATTTCTCTGTTCCAGCATCTGGCCTAATAACCGGACCAAGATAAATCCTCCAAAAGTATTGTTGCTTCAATGCTCGAATCATTCAGCTATGGCTGAAGGGGTAGCAGAGGACTATGCAAGCTGGAGGAGACATTAGACAGTATTTGGCCATAACTTACCTTGGAAATAAGAAATTAGGCCCTAGAGAGTTTAAGAGACTTGGCCAAGCTACACAGCAAATGAATAGGAGAGGTCTTGACTGCCTCTAATAACCCTTTCTGCCTCAGCATTCCATATGCCCTCTGTGGGGAAAGGTGGCATTTTACACCTTTTTCTGGGAGCATCAGAAGGTAGGAGAGAGCAATAACTGATTGTTCCTAACCTCAGGACACCCCAGAGACTCTCTCAGTACTTGACTTGGAGAGTACACCCCTCCTCTACCTTCAAACACATTGCTGAGGAGGCCTGAGGTCGGGGACAGAGGTAGTAATAATTATTCACTCCTTCCCCAGGTGCCTGTGAAGTCACCATGATGTGGTCCCCATCAGCTACCCTCTCCCTGTTCCTGCTGCTGTTGCTGCTAGGCCATGTCCCTCCCAGCAGACTACAGTCACTGGGCACCAAGAAGCTCCGGCTGGTGGGCCCAGGAAGCAAACCAGAGGAGGGCCGCCTGGAGGTGCTGCACCAGGGCCAGTGGGGCACTGTGTGTGATGATGACTTCGCTCTCCAGGAGGCCACAGTGGCCTGCCGCCAACTGGGCTTTCAGTCTGCCTTGACCTGGGCCCACAGTGCCAAGTATGGCCAAGGGGAGGGTGAGTGATGGCACTGGCCTGAAGGACAGCAGCGAGATGGTAGCTGGCTTCTCTTGGGGACTAAGCTCACTGAGGCTCCAATAGAAGGCTTCAGATGCCCACCCACCCTTTAATGCCCAGCTCAAATGGCTTCCACGAGGCATCTCCTGTGTGCTCCATCTGCAGACAGTCCCTGCTCCAGTTCTCCCACTCTCTCTGTAATGAGGCCTCCACCATCATCATCACTAAATTCTAAGTTCATAATTCTAAGAACATAGCAATGGTGTCACATAGTGGGTCCTTAGCAAACACTGACGAATGAATGGATGGGTGGACAGCCAGACCAATGGATGGATGGATGGATGGATGGATGGGTGAACAGAGGTCTAGTCATTTTCCAGAAACAGGTTCTGTGAACTTGCCTGACACCAAAAGGAGAACCAGCTCCCCTCCCCACCACACACACTTTCTACTTAGTGTTGGAGATAGAGACTTGATAACTATGGGGTCCCATCCAAGAACAGAGCTGCAGCTGCCACTCTGTGCCCATCTTCCAGTTCACCTTCCCCTCCCCCACAGGACCCATCTGGCTGGACAATGTGCGCTGTGTGGGTACTGAAAGCACCCTGGACCAGTGTGGATCTAACGGCTGGGGTGTCAGTGACTGCAGTCACTCAGAAGATGTTGGGGTGGTGTGCCACCCCCAGCGCCAGAGTGGCTACCTCTCTGAGAAAGTCTCCAATGCTCTAGGGCCCCAGGTGAGGAGGCTGCTGAGGGTTGGATTAGAGCCAGAGAGCCAGATGACAAACCTGGATGAGAGAGAAGGGACAGGGTAGAACCGGATTAAGCCTGGAGCAGGTGCACAGACAGAGGGCATCAGTTCGATGCGGACAGGCCAGAGGGTTGGAGGCAGGGCCTGCTGGGAATGAAAGATGCTGCACTCCATGATGGAGGCAGAAGCTGGGTGAGGGAGCCGCTTCACCCACAAGGCCTAGCCACAATTGCTGCCTCTTACCAGCGCAAACAACCCTGAGCTAAAAACAGCGCAAGCCAAACAACAGGAGTTGGCAGGGCAGGGCCCTGGCTCCCACCCTCTGTTGCAAGGTGGCCTCTGCTAAGGACAGCTGGCCCTGGCCCACTGAACACAGTGAGCCACAGAGGGGTTGCTCCACACCGGTCTAAATCACCCCAAGGATAGGGTGGTGGGTCTTGTGGATGAAAGAGTCCTGCTGGTGGTCCCATATCAGCTCTCCCCAGGGCAGCATGAAGGCCCCTCCATGCCCAACAGAAGCCTCCCAAATTCCAAGGGATCTGTCCTGATCTTAGGGAGGGCACAGACCTGCTTTGTGCTCTCCACTTTAACAAAATGAAGACCTGCAGTGGCCCCACAGAAGGCCCACGATAACTCTGTACTGCAGGGCCAGCGGCTGGACGAGGTACGCCTCAAGCCCATCCTTGCCAGCACCAAGCGGCACAGCCCAGTGACTGAGGGGGCTGTGGAGGTGCGGTATGAGGGTCACTGGCGGCAGGTATGTGACCAAGGCTGGACCATGAACAACAGCAGAGTGGTGTGCGGGATGCTGGGATTCCCCAGCCAAGTGCCTGCCAACAGCCATTACTACAGGTAAGGAGGGTGGGACTGGGGACCCATGGCTCTGTGTGTGTGTGTGTGTGTGTGTGTGACAGAGAGTATTTTGCAGGGTTTTGTGAGGGTTGAGGAGAACTGATTGGCAGGACAGGGATCTCTGTGACGGGATATGCATCATCTATTAAGGACTGGGCCTTAAACCAGTGAACAAGGATGGGCTTCGAGATTCTGAAAAATACCTAGAAGTGGTCAGAAAATAAGCTTTGTACTTGTCAATCATGAAGAAAAAATTGGCTGTGGTGCCAAATGAAAACAATGGCATGCAAACTTTCGGGTCCCTGATTAAAAAGATAGATTTTGCTGAAGACCCTGAAAAAATGCATGCTGGGCTCAGTTCTACCAGTAACTAGCTGTGGGGCCTTGGGTAGACATCTGGGCCTCAACTATCCACTCCCTGTGAATGATCTCAGCTCTGCTCCAGGGATTTTCCTCAACTCTGATCCGAGCCAGACTGCGATGGGGTTGCATGTAAGCAAGGCGTGGGGTGGGGTGCATTTGGAGAGAGAAGACAGAAACGTGGCAGAACTGTCACAGCAGATTGCATCAGCTCAGTAAATGACCAGCCTAGTCACGGTCCCAGTCTCTTCTTTGACAGTAAGAAGTGTGTTTCTCCTGGAGGGAGGGCTCTCCTAAAGTACCTCCAAGTCATTGCCCTCCCCTGTAAGTTTGTCATGCTTCATTGAAGCAGTTGAGTCCCTTGTTGCTCTGTCCTGGGTCTCTGGCTTAGGCAACTCTGGTCCTGAAGAAAAAGCGTAGTAGGCAAGCCACATGGTTGCATCCTTGGGGATGATGGGGACATGGGCCCCTGGCTCCCCACTCCCTGGTAATTGTACATTGGGCCCTGCTGACTGACCCCTCACGCATGAGGAAGGCAGCCCTGATTACAGCCTGGGTGTCTCTGAGTGGCAGCCCCCAACCCCCAGCCAGGCTCTCAACTTCCACCTGTCCCCAGAGGACCTTTCCCTAGTTCCTTCTTTCAGGACACTCCCTTAAGACTCCCTTCATCTGGGCTGGGGAGAGGGCAGGCATGAACTGCTTGTCCCAGCATCCTAAAGTGATGGCACTTTAGGGACCTTGCTGACAAGCAAGGTAAAATGGGGTCATCATTATTTGTGAGGTGACCATCCTATCCAGGCTAGTGGGAAGCCCAACATTGACATAGGATTTTTTAACAAGTTCACAGACTATGCACACCTGTACAAATGTGAGGGTGGCTGTGAGGAGCTATGGTGGCAGGCGTTAGAACTCCTGCACCCCCCTCCACTCTCCATCTTTCTCCTACCACAGGAAAGTCTGGAATTTGAAGATGAAGGATCCCAAATCTAGGTGAGGAATGGTGCCTGCAAGGGAGGAGGCAAAGAGCTGTGGTGAGGGGCTGTGAGGGACTGCCTCCCTCCCCACCTTTCCTTCCCCTTGGCCTCCTCCTTCTCTACTTAAGCCCTCCTCGACCCTCAGTTTCCTTTGTCTTCCAGGCTGAACAGCCTGGCCAGTAAGAATTCCTTCTGGATCTACCGAGTCAACTGTCTGGGGACAGAACCCCACCTAGCCAACTGCCAGGTACAGGTGGCTCCAGGACGGGGCAAACTGCAGCCGGCCTGCCCAGGTGGCATGCACGCTGTGGTCAGCTGTGTGCCAGGGCCTAACTTTCACCCACTGAAGACGAAGCCCCAGCGAAAGGCGTCCCGGTCAGAGGTGAGCCTCAAGGGGCCCTGTACCTGACCAAGGCATAGCTCCCCTCAGCAAGATCCTGCCCAGTGAGGAGAGGAGACCCAGACTGGGAAAGGAGGCCAACTGACAGAATGGTAGAGCCTTGGAATTAATTTAAAAGGGATCATTTGTAACCCTACCATAAATGGAAAGTAGACATCACTTGCCATGAATAGAAGGTAACCGTAAAAACAGTAATTAAATTGTAGCTGCAGCCCATTGAGGCCGAAAGTATTGAACCTAAGCCTGGCCTTTTGTTATAAAAAGTAGGTGAGCAAGTGCTAGTGAGGCTTTACACACACACTAGCATCATTGAAGAAGTGGAGGTTGACAAAACTGGCTTATTTAAGGTGATAGTTACAGGAAGTCAGAAGTGGGACTGGAATGCCTGCCTGGGCCTTGGCTGTGGCCCATAGAACTTGGAGGCTTTGCCCTGGGGTCCTCTGTGGGGGTTCAGGCCCTCTGATTGCCCTTTGTGAAGCAGTTTTTCTCCTCCCACAGCAGGAACTAAAGGTGCGCCTGCGCTCTGGCGCCCAGGTGGGCGAGGGCCGTGTGGAAGTGCTCGTGAACCGCCAGTGGGGCACAGTCTGTGACCACGGATGGAACCTCATCTCCGCCAGCGTTGTATGTCGTCAGCTTGGCTTTGGCTCTGCACGGGAGGCCCTTTTTGGGGCCCAGCTGGGCCAAGGTGAATAAGAGGTCTGTGGTAGGGCTGGAGGGCCTGGATGTGCTGCTAGCACCTCTCTTGGTGGCTCTGGGGTTCCGAGACCCAAGACAGAAAGTTCTTCCCCTCTGAGGAGGGAAGCCACAGGTGTGGGCTAAAGAGATGGAGTCTCAAACATCTCACTCTCCCCCTACAGGGCTAGGGCCCATTCACCTGAGTGAGGTGCGCTGCAGGGGGTATGAACGGATCCTCAGTGACTGTCTCGCCCTGGAGGGGTCCCAGAATGGTTGTCAACATGGGAATGATGCTGCTGTCAGATGCAATATTCCTGACATGGGCTTCCAGAATCAGGTGAGTTCAAGTCTGAGCATGTCCTGAGGAGACCCTGGGAAGCCCCCTAGACATCCATCTTGAGCCAGGAGGAGGGGCTCAGGAGAGGCATCAAGTGCTTCTGCCTGAACAGTCCACCTCCCTTGGAGCCAGCCTCAAGTGTCCTCTCCTTTTGGTTGCCTGCTTCGCCTGCAGCCGCAGAGATGTCAGAGGGATGAACATACTTACCACATAGTCCCAGGGTCCTTGTATAGCTGAGGAAGGTGCCTGGGACCAGAGCAACAGGCAGCAGGTGCACTGGAGGCCATGTGGGATGCTCAGGTTCAGGGTTGGAGGAGCTGTGGGCAAGTTATGGAGCTCCTGTAAAGTGGGGCTAGCTCTCTCATGGGGCCATTGGGAGTGAGGTGACAGACCTGAAAGCCCTTTGCAAGTTGCGAGTCATCCTTAATGGTGGGACCTTAAGTAAGAGGAGGGCAAGTTCCAGAGCAAAGACCCTTGAGTTAGATTTCTCTAGGGACACTAGGGACTATCTAGTAACTGTCCTCACTTTACAGAGAAAACAAGCCCAGAAAGGGGGAGTGTCTGGTTAGGGTCACACTGAACTGACCTGGCAGGTCTCCAGGCTCACAGTCCTGGGTTCTCCCCACCTCCTCGCATTCCTCTAACCACTGCAGGTGCGCTTGGCTGGTGGGCGTAGCCCTGAGGAGGGTGTGGTGGAAGTACAGGTGGAGGTGAACGGGGTTCTACACTGGGGGACCGTGTGCAGTGACCACTGGGGACTCACGGAAGCCATGGTGGCCTGCCGACAACTCGGCCTGGGTTTTGCCAACTTTGCCATCAAGGTAGGTCCCTGTCTTTCTCTTTTTCTATTTCAGTGTCCTGGACTGAGCGGACCAAAACTTTTGAGGCTAGAGCTGCTTGACCCTTCATTGTCTACTCAGCAATTAATTATTGAGTGAAACTTTGGGCTGACATTATGCTGGGTGCAAGCGATGCTGTGGTGGACGAGACAAGGTCCCGCCTTGAGCATATGCTGAGTAACTGAGGCTCTCAGTAAAATGATTACATAATCAGGCATACAGCTGAATCTGTACGAAAGATGAATAGAAGTCTGCCAGATGAGGTGGGGGAGGAGAAAGAGCAGCCGGTGCAAAGGCCTGCAGCCTGAGAACACTGGATTCAGTTAAAGAAATCAGGGGCCAAGGGCTGCAAAGTGGCATGAAATTCGAGGGTTGGAAAGAAGGCAGGAACAAGATAACTTCAGATTTTTAAAAGTTTTCTTCCATTGGTGTTTGGAAAACAAGAGTGGAGACTAACCTGAATGCAGGAAGCACACTCAGGTTACTGTAGGGCCGAGGTGAGAAATGAGACTGGGTTGGACCAGGCCAGGAACAACATAGGGATATTAAGTGGATAGATTCAAAAGATGTGCATGGCTGCAGTGGAGAAAGTGCCACACCTGCACCCACTCTGGCTTGTCAGGCAATGGACAGCAGACCTCACCAGAACTGGGCTCTGTGCTGAGGGGCTGTATGAGAGGCAGCTGAAAGATAGGAATATACTGCACCTGCATGGGGGAGACACACAGGTCCATCCTCCTCAAACGGCAGAGGGCCTTCTGGGAAAGGGGTGGGAGCAGAGCCAGATGGAAGCCACAGGCAGTGGGGTTTTGCCTCAATATGTGGAATAATCTTCTAATGTCAGAGGGGTCCAATGTCACATGGTCCAACGTCACATCTACCCAAGGGGTAGAGGTTCTCATCCTAGGCCGAGGCTGGACACAGCCTGGTAGGGATGGATGACGGAGTCTAAGCCTCAGATGGACAGCAGAGATGGCTCCCCAGGCACCTCTGGCTCTGACTGGGTGATGCTGGCTGTCTTCTTAGGACACCTGGTACTGGCAGGGGACACCGGAGGCCAGAGAAGTTGTGATGAGTGGGGTGCGCTGCTCAGGCACAGAGCTGGCCCTGCAGCAGTGTCAGAGGCACGGACCTGTGCACTGCTCCCACGGTACTGGGCGCTTTTCAGCTGGAGTAGCCTGCATGAACAGTGAGTAATGGGAGAGGGTCACAGGCATGGACAGGCTGTGGCAGGGTTGGGAGTAGAAGTGCCAGCTCAACCATTCCCCAGCTGTGTGTAGCCAAACCGTGTATCATCAGGATGCAAAGCCTGCTCTGCCCACCTGATGGAATTATTGTGAGAATGAAAACTGAGAAAATGCGAATGTACAAGGAGATATGGCAGGGTTTTTCAATTTGGGGGTATGACCAATAGCTTTTAAAGAGTGACACAATCAAAACATGATAGTGTATTACATTTAGTAAGGGTACTGTTTTTTCTTGGAACTTTGTAAGTACATAAATAAAATATATTGTCATTTGCAAGAAAAGTAGCTTGGAAGCCACTGCAGAGGATATGTAAATGTGAGGTATGCTGGGGCCTAAGGCTTGTGTGTTCTCTTTCTGAGCTATGGGATTTCCCAGAAGGCTGAGGATGAGACCACTTTGTAGCATGGGTTTCCCACAGACTCAGATCTCAGGGCAGCAGCACCTGTTGCGATTGCCCAATGAGGCCTGGGCCAAGATGACTATATCCAGTTCTAACACTGATATAGGCTGGCACCAACCCCAGTAGCCACTTGACCTTCTTCCCAGATCATTCTTAACCTCTGTCAGGATGCTTTAGGCTTCCTCTCTGTGCGATGCATGCTGGAGAGAGCACAGGGTCTACCCATCACACCCTCTCTTGCAGAATGATGGGGTATCAGTGTGGCCCCCTCAGCATACTAGGGGTTTGCTTTCCACTCAACTCCTCTTCCTGAAAACCTTGGACCCTTCTCTGCCTTCAGTGGCAGCTCTCTTCTTGAGTGCAATAAGATGCTGCCCAACAGCTGGGCAGATGGCTGACCCGAGCCTCAGCCGCCATCCCTATCTCTCCTGACTCTCCTTTCTTTCCTTTATGCTCTTCTCATTTTCTCTGAACAGCTCCCCCCGCCACCCTCCCCGCCCCTCACCCCGTCCCCAGGTACTCTAGGGCTTGTCAATGGGCATATCCTGGCTTTCCCCAAAATAAGCCACAGGAATTTCAAGGGCATATTTATTGACAGTACAGCTATCATGTAGCAAAGCACCTTCCAAGCCCAGCCATTGAAGCAAGCCAGTGTTTCCACCACCCTCATTAAGCTCACCGAAGGTTTTTGGCCCAAAGGCCTCAACTGCGGCCCTCTGTTTTGGCAAGAACAAGCACTGAGAAAGGGCCATTTTCCCCTTTTGAAAAAGAGCCAATAGCTCTGGAGCTCCGTATTTCTGTACTGACACCTGAGGGACAGCAAAGGTACAGGCATGTGGCTTCAGAGATTAAGAGCCCCAGTAATAGAAGAGGAAAGCGGCTGAGCCATCTAGCAAGACCCAGGTACCAGTAGGTGAACTTTTACATGCAGAGAAGCACCAGAAATCTAGGACGCCTCCTAGAGAAATGCACAGGGAACACTTCTGGTAGCAATCAGGATGGAACAGCAGAGTTGAAGAGTAGGCTCACTTGGAGATGAACTCTTCCTACGCTCCCTTCCTGCCCTCCCACCCTACTCCACCCCATCCCTGAGCACTGAAGGACTGAGGCCCAGGGAGACAGGGACTTGGCTAAAGTAACTAAGTGAGGTATCAGCAGATCTTGAGAAGATTTTATGCACTAACCTACAGAAAGCCACTTTATAGGTTGAAAAGCATTTTATAAAAGAAATAGCTTACATCCTTTACCTGTTTACTGTGTGTACAGATATCAATCTAAGCACATTACAGACACTATCACATTAATATCACTAATACTATCTCCATCTTGCAGATGACAAAAATAAGGCACAACAGAGAGCACAGTCTGGGGCAAGTCTGTGCTCAGGTTAGGCTGGAGAACAAGACCACTGCCTTTCTACACTTGCCTCTTGCCCCACCTTCTCCATCGCAGGTGCTCCAGACCTAGTGATGAATGCCCAGCTGGTACAGGAGACAGCCTACCTGGAGGACCGCCCACTCAGCCTGCTGTACTGTGCCCATGAGGAGAAATGCCTCTCTGAATCCGCCGACCACATGGACTGGCCCTATGGACACCGGCGTCTGTTGCGCTTCTCCTCACAGATCTACAACCTGGGCAGAGCTGACTTCCGTCCCAAGACTGGACGCCACAGCTGGATTTGGCACCAGTGCCACAGGTTAGTGCCTGCCAATACCTTGGCTCTAGAGGGTTAGGGACAAAAATCGGAGCTCAGGGACCAAATGGCCTTGGGCACACTTCCCTGGAAGAGGCATGCACTTTAAATGTGTTCCTCCTAACTGGCCTTGTCTGGAAGGGGCAGGAGCCCTGTAGCATCCACCTGCCCATCTGTCACCTTCCTTGGATGTACCTGGGTGGACAGTGCTCATGGGGCCTGTTTCCCACAGCAACATTCCTGAGAGAAGTCATTGCCAGCAGTTGGTCTCTGCTAGCATGGTGTTATATAATCTTTCTGCTTTGGGCCCTAAGCCTTGTCTTCAGGAGCCAGGTAAAGTGGGGACTCCCAGAAACGTGGATGACCAAAATAGGATGCTGAGTCTGCAGATAAAGTTTGCTGGTTCCTGCAGCAACATAAGGCAACGCCCCCAAAGAACGGTAGGAACAGACTGGTGCTAGAAAGGAGACAAATGAGCATTCTTTCCTATCAGGAGCTTCCAGACCAGACAGAAGGAGACAATGCTGGTGACAAAGGCAGGAAGGAGAGGGGCAAGGAAAATGGATTATTTTTTTTCCTCTTCAATACACAATCATGGGTAGAGAAAGCTGAGAGGACTGGACAGTGATTTTGGGACTTGGCCTTACCTGAAATAATGAGCACCTTTTTCTGTAGCATGAAGAGTTGTCATTATCACTGGATTGAAAAATATGATAGCAATTTGGTCCCAGGCTGACAAGGAGCACAGAAAGCTCCCTCCCCAGCTGCTCCAATCCTAGGTTGTTCCCTGGCCAGTGTCCCTTCCCTCCACCTCTGCCTTGGGCCCTGCAGCCAGGATGATTTTACCTCTCCTACCTGGGTTAAGACTAGGTGACTGGGGACAGCTGTGCCTTGCTGCCTGGCAGAGGTGCCAGCAAAGTAAGCTGTGGGCCACACTAATCTTGGGTTTTGGAGGGAGAAGGGCACTGCCCTGCTATTATAACTTTCCTCCCTGGGTAATGAAGGGGCCTGGTGCCTCAATCTTCCCTGCCAATCCCTCCATTGAGGGCTTTTTCTGTTGCTATGGGGCTGACAACTCTGCCTCTTCTGCAGGCATTACCACAGCATTGAGGTCTTCACCCACTATGATCTGCTCACAATCAATGGCTCCAAGGTGGCAGAGGGGCACAAGGCCAGCTTCTGTCTAGAAGACACAAACTGCCCCACAGGTACATGGTTTCCTATCAGATACCCTCTTGTTATATCCTCATGTTGTATTCCTTTGTGCCTTTGGGGTCAGGCTTCCCTCTGCCCTGTTCAACAGCCCCAGGCACCTGGACAACAAAACTCAAGGCAATCCCAAAACTTCTTACCTTCTGAAATCTTAGGTGGAAGTCTCTATCGCCTCTGAATTTCCAACAGACTTTGTACCACTTCTTAAAAGACTTAACACTTTCTGGCTTGGATAACAGTTGCCATCCACTAAGCTCTCTGAGGTCAAGGATGTCTGATTTCTACTTGCCTACCCACAGTCCCTATCCCTGAGAAATCCCATGGTAAACCCTGGACCTTTAGAGGGCTGGATGAATACATGGACAAATTAGCACAGCAGGGCTAGAGTATCCCAGCCGTATTTCTTAGGCCAACAGGAAGTTTTACTAGAACACCCACAGACATGGTTTAAAATAATAATGGATTCATAGTAGGAATTCTGATAGTCATTTAACAGAACCTCAGGTCCCAAATCTATGAACTGGGCCTTAATGTGCTGAGCTGGCAAAGCTGGTGTGAAGATCTTATGTTAAAGTATATGCACAATTGCCTATTTGGTGCCTCAGTAACTAGCTTCCCCTTACAGGACTGCAACGGCGCTATGCATGTGCCAACTTCGGGGAACAGGGAGTGACTGTAGGCTGCTGGGATACCTATCGGCATGACATTGATTGCCAGTGGGTGGATATCACAGATGTGGGCCCTGGGGACTATATCTTCCAGGTAAGGATGCTTGGAACTAGCCATGGGAGCCCTGTCTTCTCCAGGAATTACAAACCCTTACCTGAGGTCAGATGGAGACAGTTTCCCACGTAGTCTCCAATATGAGTATCACCTTATGCTTAGAGTTGTCCAACAGAGATCCCAAGGCCCTAGTGTGATTCCTGAGTCAGTGGATATTGGGAAGTTCTGACTCCATCTGTAAAATGGGGACATTAATGCCTACTTCCTAGGGTGGCTGTAAGGGTTAATGAAGCAAAGAATAGAAAGAAACACTTCGTAAAACACTACAAGATGAGAGCTTACATGTCAACTGACCCAGAAATCAAATCACCCATTTTCTGTTGTCCCCCTCTAACTCCAGGTAGTAGTGAACCCCACAAATGAGGTGGCAGAGTCGGACTTCTCCAACAACATGATACGCTGTCGCTGCAAGTATGACGGGCAGAGGGTCTGGCTGCACAACTGCCACACAGGTAACTTGAAGCCACACAGCCTGTGTGGGCTTAGGGAGGTGGGAGACTTTAATGGGATGGAAATGAATTTCCTTTGACATCTTCTCAGGCAGATTTCTAAAATTGATCAGACCATAAGCCTCACCCAGTAACTACTTTTGTATCCCTGCCTTTAAGGCTGTTTGACTGTAAACTTAGTTTCCATATGTCTTAGAATCTTTTGTCACCTCAAGCCATGGATTTTTCTAGTCCATTACTCTCTCCCCCCTCCCCACCCCATTTCCCGTGATTTTCTGAGTTGCCTCCATCCTAAGCTGGCTGCCTCACAGGTAAAAGTACAAATTCCCCTTGATCTGTGTCACTACCTCTAGCTGTGATTACTGTTTCCAAGATGGGGAGCAAGGAGAACAGGGCTGGTAGAATTAGAAAAGGAAGCAGCAATAAAGGGCAGAGTAAGGAGATTTCTGTAGAGTCCCTCCATCTTAAAATTGAACAATTCCTGTATTTCCTAAGAGGTGTGTGCATCCACATTGTATTTGTCGGATGAGGCAGAGTTTGTTCCTTCAGTCAACATGTAATAAGGCCTGTAAGAACACCGTACCAGGCACCAAAAGATACAGGAGCTCAGTGTCAAGTAGGGTGTGCAGATACACAAATAGATAACCCTTATCTAGTGAGTATCCCAAACAGGTATGAACTAAATGTGGAGCAAACAAAGAAAGCAACATGGGAGACATAAAGTTTTACATAGGAAGTGATATTTGAGCAGGGTTTTCAAACGGGGCAGAAGACAAAAGGAGTAGGAGAAAGAGCATCGAATTTGACTTCAATGTCTTCACTGGGTTCCAAATCCAATCCCAACATCTTCTAGTTGAGGGCAGTGAAGAAATCCCTTTTGTTTTCTCTTTTGAAAAACAGGGCTGTGAACATCCAACTACCAAAGTGCTTTTCAGAAAGGGTTATGGCAGTTCTAAGACAATGGACTTTTATCATGTGAACTTCTAGGAACTACCAACAAATTTTAGTCAATGAAACAAAAAGATCACTTATCCTTCCCATTTCCTTTCTCCCCTTTCTTCTGTAGCACTGGGGATCAAACCTAAAGGCCTTGCACATACAATGCAAGCACTCTACCACTGAGCTATATCCCCAGACTCACTTTCAGACTGCAAGGGATTCAGGGCAGTGATGAAGGAAAAACAATACAATCTGCACGTGCCTTTGCCAATGGTTACAGACATTATCACAGTCTTTGCAGAAAACAGAGGGCACACACTGGGATGAATGTGAAGTTACAGAACAAAAGGACCATTTATCAAGGTGTGCATAGGACTAAGGAAATCAAAGATGTTGAGGCACCTGGGGAAGAACAAGTAGAAAACTTTATCACTTCTAGGCTTGAAGGGGAGAATGTGTTCTAGAGCCAGGTGAAAGCTACAGCCAGAGCAGGACAAGAAATGCCTGACCTCTTTTTCTACTTTCTAACCTCCCACTGTTGTTGATCTACCAAATGGAAAGCTGAGAACAAGGCAGATGGGGTGGTGCAATACCAGGGGTCAGTGCCCCAGGGCACAGAGAGAGCAAAGGGTACAGAATGAATCTGGGGAGGGAGCAAGGGAGAACCAGCATAGCCCTTTCCACTAATTTAGAGAATGACTAATGTCTGTGCCTAGGACTGACCTGAGGGAAGGGACAAATTGAGCAGAATGGATCTGTGTAAAGTCATCAGGGAAGGAGAGGGCCTGGGGTAAGGATGACTACTTACCTATTTTTCTTTGGCCTATAGGAGATTCCTATCGAGCCAATACAGAGCTCTCCCTGGAGCAGGAACAGCGACTCAGGAACAACCTCATTTGAAGTCATCCCTGCATATTCCCAGCTCTGCTCACACACCAGATACCTCAACTTATTGGAGCCATGCCCTTCACAGAGCCCTGACTCAGAGGAAAAGGGGCCAGTGCCAAGGGGCACCAAGAACCTGCTCAGGAAGCCTTTTGATGGCAAGATCATCAAGCCAGATGGTACTGCTCCATTAGGATGGCTCTGGGCCTATCCCCAGAGCACCTGTGGCCTACAGAATATGGCCTCCAGGCTTTGGTCAGCTAAGTTCCTCTTCCATAAGGAGACTTGCCACAGAGTTCTTGCTTCAGGAGCTCCCAGTTCCTTAGGGATGGACTGGGACCAGTTCCCTATCTAAGTGGTGCTTTGCAAATGTCTTGGAGGAGCAGAAGACAGAGAACCAGTGTACACAGGAAGTGGACTTAGTTCTCTGCTAAGAGCTCAATGCAACATAACTGTTCTCAAAGTCACAACTGGCAGAGAAATTGGTGAATGCAGTTCCTATCTGTCCTCATTCAGAATTCACCCCTCCTCATCCTCTGCAAAGTTTGTTCCTTAGTGTCTTTATCATTACCTACTGCATCCTGCGTGTTTCTTTGCAAATTCAGGCCTCAGGCATCCCATTATTTTCTGATGGGTCAACACGCCCAGTTCCTGAGGCTTGAAAAGAGGCAAGTTTCATAGAAGTGGCCAGATAGGGCCTTCCTACAGAGCAGCAAGAGAAGGTCAAGCAGAAAGGCTGCTAAGGTCATACAGACCCAGTCTGTCAGGGCCTCTGCCAAGGGGAAAAAATGTATCAGATACCTGGTAGGCAATCCAGTCTCTCTCAGGATGTATCTCAGGATTGACCTAAATTTCAAGTCTTAACTAAGTCAGCTTTGCCATGAATAAATTTTTACAATGGAAAAAACATAGGTCAAAGAAGCCACTCTCATAGGAACACATAGACAGGTTTGGTAAAGTATGACAGACTATAGAGAAATCAGAAGGAACTTTTAATTAAGGGCTGAACCTGGGAAAGGCCACTATTCCTGCTTAATACGGCTGCATTACGCTCCTGCTCAGGTGGTGTAATGTCCCAAGGTCTTCTTAACCTTTTCTCCACTGACACACACTTAAATAGATAGTCCTTATAGATCTGACACCCTAATGCCAATAAAGGTTGCTCATTATGAACTGCTACAAAGACAAGACCAGCTGTGATTAAGTAGTTTCCAACACACTAACTCTACCCTTTTTCCTCTAACTGAGCTGGGGATAAAGATGCGGGGTGTACAAAGACTACTTATGACAGCCCCAACCAGTATGATTCTCTACTGTCTGCTTCTCAGTTATCGTCCCCAGTCTCAGTGCTGAAATACAGGTCAGAAAGATTACAAGGTGAAAGGTGAAAATGAGAAGGCCCAAGGACTGTAAACTTTTATTATAGAGGCTACAAAACCAAAATGACTGGTAGCAGATTTGACAGTACTCTCTTCCCCATATCACATGTGCTACTCCATCCACAGGAAGTCAGAAGGGAAATGTTCTGGGATCCCCTCTGTGAATAATAATGCTTTCTTCCTTCCTCTCTTTCACTTTCTCTCTTCTCCACTCCCTCATCTCCTTCATTAGGTAGAGGGAGCCTATTTGGCACCACAGTTTAGGTAAACAAGGGAAGAACTGATTTCCTGTTGGATCTAGCAAACATCTCCCAAACAGTAACAACATTATACTCACACATGCAGCTAATGGTCTGTGAAAGAATGTGCAGCTAGCGGGGGAGAGTGAGGTGACTGATGACTAGATTTGGGCAGGGAGGTTACCCTCAGCTTCTTGCTGGATCTAGTTTCCAAGAGGCCAGAAAAAGCAGGCCAGGTAGACAGTCACTGGCCCTGGTTTTAGTCTTGCTGCCCACATCACATGTTTGATAGATGCAGCCAGTTCGAATTCCTGGAAAAAGCTTTACAAGGGTTGTACTGTTATACCTCTGAGTTGAAAGGGAAGGACATGGGAAGACTGGTGGCTGGCATGACTTATAACTAGATGAGGAATGTTAACAGAATACCAACTGCCAAATTCCAGACAGAGCCCAAAACCTCAGTAGACTTTCATCTTGGCATACTTAGGTCACAGAGAAACTGAAGTGCTAGGAATCTGTTTACTTTGCAGAAGCTAACCTACCTCTATTCTACAAAGACTCATTCTATGAAGAGCAAATGAGAATTCATGGGAAATGTACCTCTCTACTAAAAATTCGAGCTAATCCTGGGATTTGGATGTTTGACATACCTGAAACATACATGCAAAGCAGAGTTCCCAAATATCTAACATAATTTTCTTTTAAAGCAGCTGTGCTGTTCAAACAGACCTGCTTATCTTAGAGAAGTCTATTCCATGAAGACAAGGAGCACAAGTCTTATAGCTATAAGTCAAAGACTAAGTGGCAGGAGAGCAATTTATTTACCACAACCACCACCCAAACTTGGCATAGAAGCACTGAACATGAACAAGGGACATAGGGAGAACTGACCAAAATTAAGAAAATAATGCTGAGAACTATGAATGGGCCCTGAGACTGGAATAGCAGCAGAGACATCTAGGTCAGGACTAAAACCCAAAGCTAGTGTCATTTTAGGAGTGTTTGAGCAGAGCCCCAATCAACCATGTTCTAGACAAGGCTAATAATCCATCATTGTCATGGACATTAAGTTTAAAAAAAAAAAAAGCGGCTTTTGCCCTAGTTAACAGCACAATGAGACATCACTTCCTGAAACTTCAGCTCCTTATGGCCTATACTACCATCTCTTCAGCACGGAACTACTTTCCAAAAACACCAGGAACGCAGATATGAGATGGATAAAGCTTATCCCTATCCTTTGGGAAATCTCTCATTGCCTAGAGGTGTTTATTTCATCCTGGCTGCTCGTCATTGTAATGGATGGGGTGGTGCTGCTTGCCAAGTACCCCTGGCACAGACTGAGAATATTATACCAAGAACATGCTGTGTGCCAGATGTTTTCTGCAGGATGTCAGAGTTGACAGAGATGGGAAAGTTGAGGGTTCTGCACAAGGAGTTCAAGAAGGTGAAAGGAGCTACCACATACCAATCCCAGGATAGTCACTTTTAGAATATGCCTTGGGGTAGAGATACGGTCAGCTCATTGGACTCTACTTACTGGGGTCCAATAAAAGCAACAGATCCAATTTAAAGCATGCATAACATTACTGGCATGAAGAGAAGAAAGTACTCTCCTGTTTCTTTGTGAGAAAGACAAAAGTGATAAATACCAAAATGATATATGTCATAAAATGGTCTTTAATGTCTCCATCTTACAACATATCGCTGCTTAAATTGGAACTGGTACGTAGCTCCCCGGGCTTACTATGAGGAATGAAGTTGCAGTCCCCTGGCTGCTGTGCAGTTGGAGTAACCCCAGGCACTGAGCTCATTACAAACTTGGGAGTCCAAATACCCACATCTGCTGCAGTTCACCAACTTTGGAGTGCTGGAACTGGCAGTGTAGATTCTGTGTGTGCAAAGTATACCAGACAGTCTTCTTTTTGTTCTAGCTCTCCCTACTTGCCCCCTTCCCTTGCCCCCAGTAGTGCTGTTCTCAGCTTTGTGAGGAATACTTTGCCTAAATCTCCCATTACTGTGGGTTTGAATCCTCTGTTCTGTTCTGCATTTGCTTCAGACCTCTTGGGAAGTGTGACTCACATTAACATGACCACTTCCAGAGGACTCTTGGACACCACGTCTTCCATGTTTCTTTTCAGCTGATGGCTCCATTTATATCCACCACAGTAGGGCAATGCCAAAGAACTGCATTTAGGAGTGAGGATAGGAGTCTATCTTCTCTCTATACCCTGTCAGTCTTTCTTTGATTGCTTTTTCTCTAACATGCACATCTGCATGTACCCAGCTCTGGAAGGATCCTCTTATCTGAAGACTATAGAAACACTTTCGACTTCATGGAATTATCCCTCTCTGAGTGATGTTCAAACTGCAGATTGGTCTCTGCCTTCCCAGATGTCTTCTCGTTGCTTGGCTTCCAACCGTTTTCTCTCTGTAAATAAAGCACAGTGTTAATCATGGTTTTAAAGTGACTTTCCCTTAAACCAAATTACAAGACAAACTATAATCTGGAAACAGATTTGCTAGTCACCTTTTACTTGATTCTAGGGGTTAATAGCTTTAACTTTCCATATGCTGTGTAAGCAGAAATGACACTAGTAATTTCACTAGTTATTTTTTTGTTTTGTTTTTAGTGGGGGGCAGGAGTGCTGGGAATCAAATGCACTCTACTAACTGAGGCACACACCCCAGACCCACTATATCTTTTATGTAATAATAATAAGATCTGAGGCTAACACAAATTTAAAGTATATGGAGTAAGTGAGAACCTCAGGACCCAGATTTTCTAGTCTTTTTTTCAATGTGTTCAATGCTTCAAAGTAACTGCTCATTATTCCTCATATTAGTCTTTAAAAATATTTCAACAGGGATCAAGAATATGCTCTAATATTCTTCTTCTACCATGTTGCTCAAATGGAAATAGCAGCCACCGGGCTCCACTTATATTTCCCTACTACAACTTTATTGAAAAACTATTTCAGAGGCAAACCAAATTTCAGTATTTTGTAGAGCACTTCTGGAGCCAGAAATCTTCTGGAATATGCAATGCCAGTATGAAAAAAGGATCACATATAATAGAAGAAAAACAAGAACTATTCCTAAAAACAACAACAACAAAAAATCAATCTGGGTAATCCACCTGCAATTTTTAATACAGAAACTTGGTTTTCATCTAACTTTTCTACTAAGATCTGACAAAATATAATCTGGAAGCAGTGGTATGCACCTGTAGTACCAGACTGACATGGGAGGATCACTTGAGCCCAGGAGTTTGAGACCAGCCTGGGTAAGATAGCAAGACTCTGTACTCTGCCCCACTCTCAAACATAACATACGTGGTTGGGTGGCCCAAATACTGTTAGGAGCCATAATACCAGTCCTAATTTAATAGCCATTTATCTTTATACCATAAAATGCAAGTGATTAGCCTAAATGCCTCTTGATTTCCAGGGCTATTATTCCAGATTGATAATGTCAATAAAGACTCTGCAGGTTGTGAACAGATGAATCACAAAAAATCAAGGTGAGTTTAGAGTTAACACTTATTATTTCAACATACCTTTCCAAATCAGCAGAATCCTTTACAAAATTCCTAAACTATATTTGACTATACTTTTAAGGGCAAGGAAGCTGGTCAGGAAACTGACTGGCACTTGGAAATGTGAGAATGAGAAATTTCTTGCTATTTGGGCACCATCTTGTGGCATTATTTGAATATAGCAGCAAAGTTAAAAGAGGTAAAAAATAGGGATCAGCAAATTACAAACTGAAGGCTAGTTAATACTCAGCTATAAGCAAGCTTAAATTGGGCTGAGATTCTCTAGGAGACAGTGCCAAGGTAACTGACTTGTTCACAGGATGCCAGTATTTCTTAGGAAGGAAGTATAGTTTTTTGATTCTGAAACACATGGAGAAGCCAGCTGGGCGCATGGCACACACCTGTAATCCTAGCTACTCAGGAGGCAGAGATCAGGAAGATTACAGTTTAAGACCAGTCCAGGCAAAAAAGTTCTGAAGACCCCATCTCAACCAATAACTGAGTGCAACGGTGTACACCCATCATCCCAATTATGCAGGGGAACACAAAATAGGAGGGTCATGGTCTAGGCTGACCCAGAAGTAAAATGAGATCCTATCTCAAAATAACCAGGTGGAATGGCTCAAGTGATAGTGCCTAGCAAGCCAGAAGCTCTGAGTTCAAACTCCAGTACTGCCAAAAAAAAAAAAGACTTGATGAATTTAGGAGGAAATCTAAAGGCAAGGGCATCCTCATATGAAATCAATCAGAAACTGGTTCTAGATTTCAAGGAACAGTAAAGAAATCAGAAAATTAAGATTTTCAGAAAGGTAGGAAACAGATCAGAATGGTAATATGGGAAGTCATAAGAAAAGATATCCATGAACTGGCCCATAATCTACAACTGCAAAAATTAAAACAGTTCTAAAAACAAAATTTTTATTTTATTTTAAAGTTTGAGCCCATTGATGGTGGCAAATCTAACCTGAAATGTTCAAGGCTATTTCTTATCTTTGTATATCCCATCTAATGTGAACGGTCATAGACTTTCCTGAAGAAATAATGTTAATGTGTTTGATTTTGGTGTTTTGAAACATATATTATACTATATTATCTTTCTAAAATTTGAAAAGTTCAGAATTTTTAAACATATCTTGTGCTAATGCTTTCTAATAAAAAGAAAAAGTAGCTCTGTATTACCAAACACAGGTAAAAGAAAAAATTCTGATGGCAAACCATGGAAAAACTAGTAAGAGTTTTCTCTTTGTGAATGAAAAAATCACAAAGACAAGGTAAAAACATAAGGCGTAAGAAATATAGGGGGGCTGGAGACCTGGCTGAAATTGTACTATCATAAAAAAAATTTTTTTTAAATTTATTTTTTATTTTGGCAGTACTGGAGGATTTGAACTCAAGGCCTAATGCTTTAGCTTAGCAGGCACTCGCCACTTGAGCCATGCCTCCAGTCCCAGGTCTTTATTTTTAAGCAGCATACTTATCACTATTTTCACATCTGAAAATATCTAAAAACGAAAGGAATAGCATGTGAAAATATATGTATGGACAGAAAGAAACATGTTGTTCCTTTATTAAAGAGAAAAGAAAGCAGGTAATAGCTGATAAACTATATGAGAAATAGCTCTATTAACTTTACCTCTGATAATAAAATAAAAAGAGACAGAGCAAAGAGAAAGCCCAACAGCAGCTGTAAGGGCAAGGAGCTAAGGAACAAGAAAAGATCAGCAAGAAATGCTTCATCTAAAACATTCACATAAACTGGCTCTGCAGACCCTCATTTCCCAGAACAATACACAAACTGACAGAAGTAACTGTGTTAAATTAGTTGACTGAAATCACTGTGCACTGAGCTACCACTTCTTGCTGAGGGAATGGACAGTGTTGAGGACCAAAAAGGGGCCAGTTTAGAGTCACATTTAAAAAAGAAAGAGAAGGACTGCAAATTAAGACTTTCAAATTTTATTTCTACATCTAAGAAAAATGATCAGAAAATCCACTTGTAGCCACCTACAGAGCAATAATCAACATGCTTTGTGAAGAACAAGTCTGGTCAAACTAATTTAATTGCTTTCTTTCATGGCATGACAGAACCGGTAGATCAAGGAGACATCATCTAAGTAACGTCTTAATTTTAGCAAAGTTTTAGATTTTAAGGTTTCCAAGTATTTACAGAATCATCAATACACTGGGAAAATACAACCCGCATCTCATTAGGAAGCATTTAACTTGGGAGAGGAGGATTATTAGTATACTAAGCACAAGGAACCCCATGCTCTTATTTATTTTAGCAATACTTGGCAAACTGGCCAGATCTATGGTTAGCATTTTCATCTCTAATTTAGGAAAGGGAAGTAAGTTTATTAAACAGCAACTGAGAGCCAGCCATCATGGCACATGTCTGTAATCCCAGCACTTGGGAAGCAGAGGAAGGAGGATAGTGAGTCTGATAACAGCCGAGGCTACACAGCAAGTCTCTTTCTTAAACAAACAAACAAAAACAACTGACAGCAAAAAATAGGTAAACACCGGCTCCCAAGAAAAAAAAATAAAAATATGGTTAGAAATGAATGGAATGTAAGATAACAGGAGACAAGACACTGAGAAAAATACCTGAAGTCCTATATCATGAGGCAGTAATGCAACTTGTAGAATAATGGAATGACTAAAAAGGTTTCCAGAATGTAGCAATTGTGTTCAAATTTGTTTTATCATAGTTGACTAAATATCATAGACAGACAATTTTAAGTTTTTAGTGATTTAATTACTCAAACTAGGTGATCAAATTGTTTACTTACTCTGCCTTTTAGGCCTATGAACCAAAAGATGGCCTTGTAGAATGAGCCAATTAATCACTTACCCCCCAAAATAAAAAGAAATAAATTATGAAATAAAATTATAGCAGGCTTTGAAAATGAGAGCGGAACTGATTCTGAGAGGCAATGATATCTATTGCTAATTTTAGGTAGGAATCAAATGTTTACAGAAGTAGAACATGGGAAAATTTCACATGAATTCCCTAGTTTGGTCTTTAAATTGTGGTTTTATTCAGTGTGAATCACTGGCTTAAAACACACAATTAACTAAAATACAAAGCACTCAAGGGTGATCTATACTTTTATTTTCTACTCTTAGTATACCTCTGATCTTCTTATATACTCTGTTGGACTAAAAGATATTTTTCTCACGTTTAAGCTCTCTTCCTCTTGATGCATATGTGATTTGCTTAACATGATTTGAGTACTATCAATTCTTCTAGGAGTAGTTTAATCCCTGAACCTCTTTTTTAAGGATTAAGGCACTGATCTCTCATTAAAAGAGTAGGAAAATCCAAGTAGGGTACAAATCCTACCAGGAAAAGTGTTTAATACTCATTAATTAGGAGTATTTTATATGCAGTGGTCAACTCTGGGTTTTAGAAAGAAAAACATGGAGGACTTGGAAAAAGTTCAGAGTAAAGTCATAAAATTCATTAAGAAAAATTCACTAAGACAGCCAATGTCATTCACATATTTAGTCAATGAACATTCGCTGAGCATTTTTTTATGGCCCAGGCACAATGACAGACAGCAGAACTTTTTATTTAGGACAAAGGAGAGCTGAAAGATTACTATACAGTACTAATGAAAGCACCTATACCAGGTGATGTTATATAGATTACAATTCTCATGCTAATTCTGAACAACCACAGGTCATGTCAGCACTCCAGAACATCATGGCTGCTTAGCGACATCTGCCATATGTAATGAATGGGAACAGCAGTATATAGTAAAAAACTGTCGTCACTGGTTTATGTGTATTATAATGTAGAAACTCTCATTAGTCACGTGAATAAAGCTCCTTTCTAGGCAGGCACTCTACCACCTGAGCCATGCCCCCAGCCCCCATAAAGCACCTTTCTAAACATTTTGACTTATGTTAAATTATATTGTACTCAAAAAATTCTTTATGGTTAGGTAGGGCAAGCATTACTTTCACTTCGTTGGAAAGTAAGACAAAGAGAGGTATGACTGACTTGCCCAGGGTCACACAGCTAGTTAATGGCGAAATCTCTACCATAGCCTAAATTCCCTCATTCCTAAATGATTTGCCCTTGATCTTTATAGTTAAAGGTTGTTAGAACAGAATGATGTACACGTTTTATATTTCCACTAAGGAAAAAAGAAGAGGAACCTAGTTTAAGCTACCAAGTGGATTTAAGTCAGATCAAAGGAAGATTTTTCTAACAGTGAAAGCTAACCATTGCTGTAGAGAACTAAAAAGAAGCCTATAATATTTATATAAATATTATACATTCTTTCCTGGGAAAAAATATCAAATTGCCCCAAAAGTCCTTCAAAAAGGATGACAGTTTTGTGAAGGAACATGGGTTTTAATTAGAGAGGCCTAAATTCAAATTCCTCTTCTCATTTTACCAGTTACTTAATGTCTCTGGGTCAGCTCTAAACTGGAGATAATACCATCCATCAATGTTGTCATGTCACAGTACCACCACAATATGGTACACTGATGCTATGGCGTTTCCTTCCAGACCTTTTCATCAACAAAACCCTTTTAATACCTTAAAATCTTCAGAACTGAAGCAGGAGGAAAAGCTAGTGATGTAGCTCAGTAGTGGAGTGCTTGGCTAGCATGCACAAGTCCCTGGGTCCAATCTCAATACCAAAAAAATAAAAGGAGAAAGAGGAACAACAATCACCTAAAATATCTAAAAGTAGCTCATATTTTGTTCCTTACTCAAAGCCGATATGCCCACTGAATCAGAAGTTTAAGGAGAGGAGCAAAATCTCGCCTCCTTTCTAATTCTAACTACAGAAGACTGTGCCATGCAATGAATGCCAAACAGAGCTGACAGAGTATTACAGAAATTTTAAAAAGAGTACTGACAAAAAATTGTGCACTGAAATCTATCAGGGATTCACCATATAATGATATTGCTGCTATTACTAAAGAAGAACAGCAGCTAACATTTATAATATACTTTTTATAGACCTATTGAAACAGGAGCAAGAGTTCCTATGGTTCTTGAAGATGTCTAAATGTCTTTCATGGATTATCTCAGCTATTTTCCATTTTATGGCTGAGGCCTCCAGAGAGTAAATAATTTTACCTAAGGTCACATAGTCAGTAAATGGCTAAGCTAAGACAGGATCCAGGTAACCTGATTCTAGTGTCTAAGTGTTATCCACCATGCTGTACTGATCCCATCTAAAACAAAAATACATGTTTTGCTTGCTTAATACAAGAACAGTTCTTTTAATTTCCCCAGGAAAAAAAATTAAGTGAGAAACACAGACTCCATGCAGGCAACTACATCAGCAGTATCTTGTTCAACAAAAGAAGATGCCAGAAAGAGAGAAAAAAAAAAAAAAAACCAGGAAATTCTCCATTTGCACTTTCTCAGCTATGAAGAATTCTAAAGAGAGAATTCTGAAGCAAATTAAAGGAATGGTCTTCTATAATCCACACATTAATAAAAAGAAGGAACCTACTACAGTGGGTATCTATTCGCAAATAATGGTCTTCTTGAGTCTCAGCTACCTGAGAAGGCTGAGGAAGGAGGAGTCCAAGTTTCAGGCTAGCCTGGACAATGTAGCTAGACTCCTGTCTTAAAAAAACAAAGCACAAATAAACACATTCTTTTAAAAATCAGTAGGGTACTCCTTACTTAGCCAGCAGTCTCATTTTTAATTGCATCACAGAAATGTCCTTTGTATAGCAAGGCATTTCAAACAAATACTTCAAGTGGAGCTGCATGCTGATGTTCCTACAGAGAGCAAGAGGGGAATACTCAGCTGATATCCATGTGAAACAATCGCTGCAGTATTTGTAGAGATACAAGTTATATCACACCTACAAAGAAGCATGGTACATTGCACAAGGAGTCATAGCTCCTTTAGATATAACTGTTTGGACCTTCAACTTATCTATTTGTTCATTTTTATACAGTGCTAGGGATCAAACCCAGGGCCTTGGGCATGCTAGGCAAGCACTCTACATTTCCTGTTCTTCCTATTCATCTTTTGCGATAATTGTAGCTATCATGTAGAAATCATTTTCCTCAGAGATAACAATTAATAAAGGTTAAGGACTGGATATTCTTCTTTAATCTAGTTCTGTCATTACCATCTAAAAAAACCAAAGGAATCTTCTCCTGTTTCTATAGTCTGTGAGAGACCTTTGATGAACAATGCATTAGAAAAAAATGAAAACTGCCTCATTATAATCATTAAGGTTTCAAAAATTAGTTGATGACAACTCTGAAACTCTAGCACCTGCCATGACACACTTTGTCATTGGTTATCTGGCCAGTGCAGCTGAGAGTCCAAAAGCTTCCTGCTATCACCAAAGCAGAGTGGACAGGAAGTATTAATGGCCTTGTTAGACCAGCAATAAACAAGGAGTTTGAAACTTCAATTGGTTTAGTGGAAAAATGAAGTTTCTTTTCAGTAAGTGGAATTTTCAGAATAAATTGCCTCCACAGAGTCCACAGATCTTGGGCTAAGGCAATAAGACTGTCTAAAGCCTGAAGGTTGATAGAAAGTACTTAGGTGTCAAGCCTGAGTCCCAAGTCTTTACACACAATTCAACAACCTTATAAAGAAGAGATACATTTTAACCTCAACTTCAAACTATAAGGAAAGAAAATCTATGTTTGTAGAAATATTTTCTGAGAACTCTTAGGTCCTGGAAAAAAAATCAGAAGACAAATGACTCTAGATGTACACTAACTGAGCCACTCAGTACTGTCTTAAAAAGAATCTCCGTTATAGTTATTATCACCAATGTCAGTTATTAGCTTTTCCTTAATTTCTCTTCTACCTAAGATCTAAACCATTTAATAACATCATGGTGATATCATGGCAATCATGGCCCAGTAAAACTACAACAAATAAGGTTTTCTGTCTGGGAGACTATTATGTCTTCACAGGACATTTTTCCTCAGAACATCAAGCAAAAACTATAGAAAAATCCAGGAATAACCTGAGAAGGCCAAACCTATCTCTTGGAAAATAATAGTAGGAGCACAGAGTAGATGCCTTGGTATGTGGAACAGGAGACAAATCCTGAAATGTCTTCCTGAATGTAAGGCTTGAAAACAATTTCTATAAACTTGAGAGGCTTCTAGAAAATGGAAATGACAAAATGGAATAGGCTTCATTCTTTTTTTTTTTAAACACATGCCTTATAGTGTATTCTCGGGGCACTATAGAAGAACTCACCTCGAGCTTCTTGCAGTTTCTTGAGCTCTGCTTCTCGTTCTGTTTTGCTCTGCTTGCTTCGAACTCCAAGGGCACTGATGACTAACCTTCTGGCTAGGGCTGCTGAAGTCTCAGGTCGCTCCTTTGCTGGCTGGAGGAACTCTGAATGGGAGAAAGGGAGGAAGTAGGGAGTAAGAAAGAGAAAGCACTTCAGCTCCCAGTGATTTAACTCAGTAATTAACATTCAAAATAGACTAACAAGAGCTGCATCAGCAGTAATTAATACAAGCCTGAATAGATGACCATCAGAGGAAATTAACATGGCAATGCACAAACAATCCTGGCTTTATTACCTGCATTAACATAGTTTCTTACAGTGACTCCACCAAACAGCTAAAATGGAGGTAAACAAAGTAGGGACAGCATCAGAAACTAGTTACTGCATTGCTTGTTATTTAAGTGGATGCTCAGATGGTATATTCCCAACACGGTCTTTATCTTTCTGTCCTATAAAACATACATCCTGCCAGCCTAGTGGTATACCACTGTAATCCCAGCTATTGGGAAGGCAAAGGCAGGAGGCTAGAGAGTTTGAGGTCAACCTAGGCCAAGTTAGTCAGACCCTGTCTCAAAAATAAAATAAGAAATAAAAGGGCTGGGGCATGGCTCAAGTGGTAGACTGCTTGCCTAGCATCCTACAGGCCCTGGTTCAATCCCCAGCACTTCAAACAAACAAACTTCCCCTAACACAAAAAGTAAGTGATATCTTTACAACTCTGGATGGTGTACAAATGCTAGAAAGAATAACAACATTACCATCAACAAGGAAAAAAAATGCAGCGACAAAGACTCACCAGCATAAGCTCTAGCTTTGGCCTTGGCTGCTCTTGTCGCCTGTGACAAGGGCCTGATCTTCACCATGGTATGTTTAATACCCAAAGCATCACGAGCTGCGAGGAGGAATAAATATAAGGAAGCAGAAGATACAAAGTGGGATGATACAAAGGGAAATTTAGGGCTAGTTCTTACAAAGTATTTCTTATAAAGTGAAAAAAGATGTTATTTTTTTTTTCACTGCAAGAAAAAAAGCAATCCTAAGATAAAGAAAAATCTAAAAAAATTGACAGTGCTTATTTTAGATCAGGGATCAGCAAACTGTGGCTCTATGTTTTGGTAAATAAAAACATGAAACAGAGCAATGTCCATTTATTTGCATACTGTCCGTGGCTGCTTTCTTGCTACAACAGCAGAGTTAATTTTTTTTTCTTTTCTTGGTGGTACTAGGGTGTGAACTTAGGGCCTTGGCCTTCCTAAGCAAGTGTTTTACCCCTTGAGCCACACCTCTAACCCAACAGTAGACTTAAACAGTGACAGAAACCTTTGCCCCAGAAAGCCTAAAATATTTACTATTTGGCCCTTTACAAAATAAGTTTGCAGACCCATGCTCTAGATTGCTCAGGCAAGAGCTAACATTTCAGTATCCCTAATTTCTATGAATACCTCTGCATCAGATCTATCAGAAGCCCAATGATATGTATGTGTGTGTGTGTGTGTGTGTGTGTGTGTGTATGTGTGTGTGTGTGCATACACAATGGCCTAATCAAATACTTAGAGAGTGGGCATTATAATTTCTTACTGGGTAGACTACTTCAAATTTATTTGTCTAAGGAAAAAAGGTAATAGGTACTATAAGATTTTGTCCCACTGCCTTCTTAAATGTGCTATATGTTTATGTGCTATCATAACTGACGTTTATGTGTACAAATAACCTTGGAAGGAGTTGACTATCTCACCAAACACCACTGGATTAAAGTGAAAAGGGAGGGGGAACACATGGGTACCAGTATCTATTCTATTACATATATTTGCTGAATACAGTGCCAACTGGTTGGAATAGAAGAGGAATAAGAACAAGTAGCAGGAGAAAATAAGCTGACAATAAGAACAGAACACTACAATTCACTAGGTGAATACCTGTAACTGGACTGGAGAATACTCCTAGGGCATGTGTATCGTCTACCCATTTAATATCAAATCCTTTCTTTCTGCAACAAAAGAAAACAATTTTATTTCTTAAAATAAAATTTACTTTTATAAACATCTTTTTAAAATGAAGTGTCTTTTAAATACAGTCTAATAAAGCATTTCCTAAGACAGAGGAAACACTTAGTGGGAATAATGACACAAAAACAGCTTGGAGGACAGAAGAAGCCACTGAAATTTAAAAGCGGTAATATCATCATAAAGAATTACCTGGGAGTATTTTATGTTCCTAGCCATTTTATAGACATGAACTAATTAATCCTCACAAGTCCCTTGGGAAGGTAAAGTATTTAATGCACTATTTCCAAGAGATATTTCTATGGGTAGGGAATGAGAAGAGATGGAAAGAGGAAGCAAACGAGGGGTAAAAGAATACATGGGGAGGTAGTCAGGGAAGGTCACCTGGACTTAATGCAAATGTAAACTGTGTCCTTGAGAGACAGACAGACAGACAGAGAGGTAATTACATTGCAAGATGTCATTCAAATTCTAAAAAAAGCCAAGTAATGGGGAAAAAAAGACAACTATAATCATAGAAGCTTACATACTCTTTCTTACTTGTGGTAGAAGGGAAGAAAGACAAAATAGGAAAAAATTTTGGCAGTCAGGAAAATTCAGGATAAAACAAGTCACAGTAAAAGAATTACCATTCTAGTCTAGAAAGAATCAAAAGAATGAACATTTAATATTATACAAATACCTTTATTTTGGAACAGAATAGTGAGCACATCACCTTTGTGGTATCAGATAACAGTTATTGTTCTTTCAGCTAATTTAAAAGTGCTCATGGAATCAATAGTTCATTGGAAAGAACATGGGTGTCAAGGTCAGATATAAACAGACTCAAGGTTCTCCCATCTTAAGACCTTGAGCAGGTTTAGGCTGTCTTGAGGCTAGGTCCGCTATCTATAAAAATGGGAACAGTAGCTTTCTCACAGAGTTGTTGCAAAAACAGAAACAGAATAATTCAATACAAGGCCAAGAACATGGTGTCGAGCACTGAGTAGGCATCTTATAAATGACTATTTTTATTATTAATAATATTGGTCAGGAAGTACTGATATGAAAATGGTGATGAAACACTAAGTTGATTCTTGTTTCTGACTCAGACATTATTAGGCTTTTGTCTAATTTTAAAAACAATTTATAAATAGCTATAAGGGAAAAAAAATTGCTAAAATATCTTCCCTCTTTAACAATGAACCAGGAAAAAAAAATATTCCTTTGATGGAAAAAGGAATAAAGGAAGCTTTGGCAACTGATCAAACAATTTCCTGAATATAAGGGTAAGAATAACTATGGTATAAAATGACTATAGGGTTGAAGGCTGTGAAAAAGTTCAATAGCAAAAGTCTCTGCTACAGGATAGTTTACAAAACAGATGGGAAAAGACCTAGATGAGTTCCAAACAGCCTTTTAGACTTTGATAATCCTTTAAAATCTTTCTCTTTTAGGAATGCTTTAGGATTTGATGGAAAAATGGTCTTATGGATAAGGTTAGGAAAAAACAAAGAGGAGCAAATAATTTGTAAGATTTAACTATTCTTGAGGAAATTCTAGACATCAACAAAATGATCCTTGGTTTTAAGGATTATGGTTATGAATGACAACCTAAGGTAGTTCTGATGTGGGACTTACGTCCATTGTTGGATGTGGAAGATCTATTACGAACCTGAACAAGGCCTGATACTGGGTCTTAATATAATTGTAATGAATCAGATGACTGACCTACACTACATATTCAGAGTAAGGTATACAGCATAGGTTAACTGTCCTCTACGACTCATTCACCCTTTCTTTCACTCAGTTGCAGAACTGATACTTTCCCTCAATTAAGTTTGATTTAACAAATGCATAGTATATAAAAATACAACACTTACTTTTATGAATAAAGCTTTAGTTTTACAACTATTTGCTCACAAATTATCTATGGCTGCTTTTGTGAGACAGGGCAGAGTTGCTTAAAATATTTGTTATCTGGCCTTTTAACAAAGACTGAGGAGTTAAACACCAATATAGAATCTTACAAATTCAAGATACAGCTGAGAGCAGTGGTACACGCTTATAATCCCAACAGCCGGGATATAAATAAATTGAATCTTATTTTTGTAATATTATACAATAAACTTGATTCATTTTAAATATCAGGATTGAAACATTGAAGTATAATTAATCCTTCTTGATATTCACTTTCTTCTAGATTCTGAATGTTTTTCTTAATAACTTTCTTTATGGATTATCTTTTTATTCTTATAGTTTATTTTTTCTTTTAAGCTAGAAATCCAGAGGTACACTTCTGACTTTCTTGCCTTTTCCTGTAACTGTTATCAACTACATATATATCAAGAGTTAGTACAACTATTCTGAACACCACTTAATCAATTACACCTGGTATTTTCACTATATAATTAAAATAAAATTAAATGAATGAAATATGAGTGTAAAGAAGAGTTGTGTCTATAAAGACTAGAGAAAGGTAAAGTCACTTACACAAAAAAAACCCCTACTATATATTATGGATAGGATAGTTATAAAAGACAGAAAACATTTCAGTCCTTAAGAAATGTGCACTCGCCATGTACAGGTGGCTTATGCCTATAATCCTAGCTACTCAGGAGGCAGAGATCAGGAGGATCGTGGTTCAAAGCCAGCCTGGGCAAAAAAAGTTCACAAGACCCTATCTCAAAAAACCATTCACAAAAATAGGGCTGATGGAGTGGCTCAGGTGAAGGCCCTGGGTTCAAAGCCCACTACCACAAAAACAAAATAAGAAAAGAAATGTGCACTCAGGTAACTCCGAAAGTATGTTAAAGTTCTTATTCTACAAATTGTTGATAAAGAATTATGAGGATGATTGCAAGAACTACTCTATCACCATACCAATAACTTAAAAGGGAGGGAAGCGACTTGGTACCACATCAAAAGACTGGCTAGTTAATGGACATTTATATATGTTAAATAGTTGTGACATATAACCATCTTAAAAATCATTCTCTATTTGACTAGTTCTGAGCTCCTAGACTCTTAGTGTCCTTGGCACTTATCAGAAGGAAGCATGTACCATCTCAATAGCCCTCTTCTTTCACTGAAAGCTTCAAATCCCACAAATAAAATTACAACAAAAGTGATCAGCTCACAGATTAAAGACCATCTAGGTTTAATATGCTTAAATAAATATAAGAATATTGAAAATATATGGAGAAAACAAACTAAAAAATGACCATGCAGATTTGAAAAACAAAAATTTTTAAATGAAAAACATTAATAAAATGAAATAAAAAAACATAATTATTTATGGACAAATTTAACAGCAATTAAGCACAGCTGAAGAAAAAAATAAGTGAACTGGAAACCTTTTTAAAGGAATCATTCAGACTGTAACAGAGACAAAGAGATGGAATATATGAAAGAGTGATAATAAGGATTGAATGAGAAGGTCTTAATCATATCTAACTGGCATCTTACAGGAGGTGAAAGAGACTGGGAAAGAGGCAATATTTGAGAATGTAATGTCTAGAGTTCTCCAAAATCAATGAAGAACACTAGTTTTTCATTTACTGATTTAATAAGCCAAAAATAATCACAACCAGGACAAATAAAATCTATAAAGTCCATTTCACAGTGAATATAAAGAATACCAAAGACAAAGAGAAATCCTTAAGAGCATCCAAAGAGAAAAGATAAGACTGCAATCAGAAGTGACAAGTGCAAGACTGTTAGCTGTCTTCTCATTATTGAGAAGAAGCCAGAAGACAATAAAATATCTTTAAGTTTCTGAAAGAAAAACAACTGTCAATCTAAAATTATGTGCCCAGCAAAAATGTCTTTCAAGAATGAAGCTGAAGAGCTAGGGATGTAGCTCAATGGTAGAGTACCTGTTAAGCATGTGCAAGGCCCTGGATTTGATCTCTAACACTGTAAACAAAAAAGAATGAAACAGAAAGAAAGCCTTAAAAAAACTGAATTTGTAACTAGCAGACTGTTACTAAGTAAAACGATAATGAATACACTCCAAATAGGAGGAAAAAGAATCAAATACATAGTCACAATAGTATGTATGTTGGGTGGGAAATTGAATTAAAAGTCCTTATAATATTTAGGAAGCAGGCAAAAAATTAGCTTTAGTCATTGCTAAGTTAGACACATACTTCATAATTCATAGCATAACCACCAAGGAATAGAAATAGATTATCATTTCAAAAAAAACAGAATGAGAAAAAAAATACCTAATCAATCCAAAGAAGGCTAGAAAGAAGAGAAAAGGATAGGACAAGTAAACAAACACAAAAAAAGATGGCAGGTAAATATAAAAGTATATATTTGGACATATATCCAAATATATCAATAATTACAATATATATAAATGGACTAAATGTACCACGAAGACAGATTTAGGAATTATCACCAATGGTGGTTCTTAAATGTTAAAATGGAGTCTAGAAAGGTTACCTGGCATTTTTAAGGAACTTAGAAGAGTAGTTTGATATAAAAGATTTCCAATGGACCTAGACAACAAACAAATAATAATGCTAGAATATGAAAACATGAGGTGAGTTTTCAGAAAATACATTAAGACTCCATTCCACTTCCCCTAACATTGTCTGCAATACTTACTGGTAACTGCAGAAAACCCGGAGAAGGTCTTCTGTACGAAATTCTTGGGGGAAGTCATAAATTTCAATGACGTGTGGGAACTCACATTCACTGAGGTCTATATCAGGAACTTGATGGTTGTAATAATCAAATCTAGGTTCTTGGATGCTTTCTCTATTCTTCATATTCCCTGATAACTAGTATGGAAGAAACACAAAAGTGACTTAGGTATTTATCACTTAGATTATATAATACATGTGGAATATTTGAAAAGGTGTTGAAATTCCAGCAGATAGCCAATGCATAAAACTTAACTTGTGTTTATCAACAAGCATGTGAGAAAATACACACTTATCCTGATAAGCTCAGTGGTAGAGCACTTGCCTAGCATGTATAAGGCCCCAAGTTCAATCCCTAGCAGTGCCAAAATCAATTAATCAAACAAACAAAAAAGAAAACACAGTGAATAATAAATGGCACATTTTAGAAACTGATTCTCAGACAACAGCTGAAGTGATGAATTAATGTTTTTCTAACCGAGCTTATTTGATCAGGCTCAGCTCATGGCTTCTTTTCTGTAAGTGAACAAAAACACAAGTTTTTTTAAAGATAAAAAAAATTTAGTTTACTTTTTGTTTATGTATTAAAGGGTAAGGAGAGAGCATCTAAGGAATTTGTTAAGATAAATGTCAGTTGCATAAGTAATTATACTCCAAGTCCCTAGCATGAGAGCTACCTAAAGGGATTCCCACATAGGCTAGTAATGAATGGTAATGAAAAATACTTAAAAATTCTACTACCACCCCCCCCAGAAAAAAACCAAAACCCTTAAGGCTACTAACTATTTCACAGTGGAAGCAGAAAAGAAAGGAAAAAAGTGGCAACAAAGTCATGAAAGTCATTGAATATTACCTATTATAAAATCAATATTCTACTTCTAACCACCCAAAACCACCATTCTTGGAGAATCCTCTGTTCAAAGTCCAACTAGGGCTGGCGAAGTGGCTCAAGTGATAGAACTTCTGCCTAGCAAGTGCAAGGCCCTGATATCAAACCCCAGTACGCCACCCCACCCCCGAAGTCCAACTATGTCCCTTTAAGCTTTCCCTCTTTTTTTTTTTTGTGCCTCTTTCCTCATCAAATAAGGAAAAAGAATTTGCAGTGCCAAGGATACATCTCTTTTCAGAAAAGTAAAAAATGAATTTAATCATTTTATTGGGGAAGGAAGAAGAGGAGAAGGTGATTTAGGTAATAATCACATAAATAAATGCTTATTTATGCCTATGCTTACAGTTCCTGTTCTCCGCTAAGCCCTCAGTTTTACATCTAAAATATGGGAATAACAACAGTACCCACACCTCACAGACAGACAGGTGGACTAAACGAGATGATACAGAAAATGCATAGGCACATGAGTATTCAAAGAAATCAACCTACTAAAACAAATTTTAGAATGCTAACTCTACTACATGCCAAGCACCATGTTAGTTCCACTTTGCTTAATACAGAAAGCAGGAAGGGACTGTTCCTCCACTGTAACAAGGGAAAAGATGAGCTGATCTATACATCATAATTCTTCTTGAGTTCACAAGACAGTTGAGTTTGTAAGAAAACCAAGGGAACCAAAATCCATAGAATGACAAGTTCTTCCCAAAGAGAAACAGAAAACATAAATAATTTTCTCCTTGGTAGAGTGTAGGAAGAAGTAACCAACACACAAGTGGGCAAGAAGGTATCTTAACAATTTTTTCTAATGGCATTAGTGGCTTTTTTTTAATATTAGCATGTACTAATTGTTCAGAGTGGCAAGGTTTTTTTGTTTTGTTTTTGCAGTAGTGGGGATTGATATCAGGGCCTCTAAGTACTCTACTACTAGAGTCACACCCCCATTCTAACAGAATTTTAAAGACTACAGTAGGCTAGTGTTAACAGGTCAGAGCAACTCAGAGTCCTACAGACAATCTGAAGTTACTTAAAAGTCAATCCTGACATCAGGCTCATGCCTCTAATTCTAGTTACTCAAAAGGTGGAGGTTGCAGAGATCTTGAGGACTGTGGTAGAGGGCAATCGGGCAAAAAGTTAGCTAGTCCCTATCTCAACCAACAAAACAGCTGCGCATGGTAGTGTACACTTGTCATTCCAGCTATGCAAGAAGCATAAATAACTAAAGCAAAAAGGGCTGGGGATGTGGCTCAAGTGATAGAGCACCTGCCTAGAAAGTAAGTGAGAGACCCCGAGTCCAGACTCCAATACTGAAAATCACTTTAACTATTTGGATGAGCTCCTTGCATTTCCATAGGAATTTAAGGATCAGCTAGTTAACTTTTGAAAAATGGGCAACTGAAAAATGGGCCTGTTATCTGATTTGGGAAATATCTTAACAATAGCAAGTTTTTTTTCCTATAAATGATCATCGAGGATGTCTTTCCATTTACTTAGATCTTTTTAACTTCTAAAAAATTCCTCAGAGTACAAGTTTTATACTTCTTTTATTAAACTTATTAAGTATTTTATTCTTTTATGATACTACTATACATGAATTTTTTTTTCATTTCATTTCTTGGATTTCTGGTATTGACTTTTTTATTTACTTTGCAAAAACCAAACCAAACAAAGCACTGCACGCTTGTGCATTTACAAGCTGGCACCAAATTACCCACTGTGAGAAGTACAGTCTATACTATAAAATATCTTGGAAATAAAAATCCTAAGAATTGACTATAGAGACAAGGGACAGACAGGATAGTCTGGCAAGAAAATCTGATCATGGTTCCTTGATCTAACCTGGAAAACAAAATTGAATTTGTACACTTACATCTCAAGTACTGAGCACTCTGGCTTCTGAGACTGATTTTTTTAAAAAAAGAAGTGCTAATAATAGCAAAAAAACCAAAACCCACATGACCTTCCTTTCTTCCCCTCTTTCCCTCCCCTTCCTTCCTTCCTTCTCCTTCCTCCCTCCCTTCTCTTCTCTCCCTTCCCTCTCTACTTCCCTTCCTCTCTCCTTTTTCCTCCCTTTCCCCTCCCTCCCTCTCTCCCTTCCCTCCCTCCCTTCCTCCCTTTTGTGGTGCTGAGGACTGAACAGAGGGCTTTGGTAGGCAAGCACTCTACCACCAAGCTACATCCCCAAACCCAAAACAGTAATTTTATTTTACACTTCATTAACATATACAAAGTTACATACCCATGGCCAGTTTTTCCACTAACACAAACTCCATTAAAACAGGGATTTCAAACTTTTCCTAAGAGGAAAAAGAACTTCTCATTTCTCCACAATATGGATATTCTTGGAAGGAGCTTATATTTCTACTGGTAGCATGGTTTTTGTGGAGGTACAAGGCCATGTACTAATGGTACTTTCTCTCGAGTATCTCAGCAAAACAATCAAGAGGAACTTGACATAAAGAAAAGAAGACTATATGAAAAAAGGAGGAAATGTCAAAAAAAAAATTAAATGGTATGAAGATGGAACTTAGGACCAGAAAAAAACTGTGAACAGGATAGAGAGGTAGAACCACTGACATAGAATATTAGACATGGTGGTGTAGAACTTTAAGAAAAGGCTTTAAGATCTGAGGAACTGATTTGTTATTAATATCTCTGTCAGACAGGCATGCTGGATGGGCTGTTCTTTTATTACCTGGATCATGGTACACAGACAGAGAACTGAGTCATGGAGAGACTAAGGATATCCCTAAGATTATAAACGAAATTACTGGCAGTTTGAATCATAACTCCAGTCCACTGACTGATAATCTAGTACTCCTTCCATAACAAAGTGAAATGGCCTAACATTAAACAGAATCAGAAATACTGTCAATAACAATGTTCACGACAGCCAGTTCTTTCTGATTAAGGATTTATGGACACGAGCTGTTATAGGAGGGAAGAGGAAAGGAAGATAAATAAACATGACAAAATTAAAAAGACAACAGTGTTCTTCATTTCTTTTCAATCCTATATTTTAGACAGCACAAAGACTATAGAATGGACTAAGTTCCATGAACTCTGCTTTGATCAAAAATCATTAATTCTGTATTTAAAGCTCCTATAATCTGGTCCCAACCTACCTATGGTAGGTAGAATAACGGCTTTCCAAAGGTGACTGCATCCCAATTCTTGTAACTTATAAACAGGTCACATTATGTCACAAAGGTGAATTAAGGTAGCAGCTGTAATCAAGAGTGTTAATAAACTAACTTTAAAATAGGGAAATTATTCAAGTGGGCCAAGTATAATCACAAGGGTCTTTGAAAATAGGAAGAGCTCAGAGGCAGAAGAATCAGTGTATTAGGATATGAAATGCTAAAAACTTGACTGGTCATTGATGGCTTTGCAAATAGAAGGGAACCACCAGCCAAGGAATGCAGTCTCTAGCAGCTAAAAAATCCCCTACAATCTCCAGTAAAGAATCCAATCCTGTCAACACTTTGATTTTTATTCAGTGAGACCCATTTTGGACTTCTGACCTCTAGAACTGCTAAGATTATAAATCTGTGTTATTTTATTCCACTTAGGTTCTAGTAATTTGTTACAGCAGCAATAGAGATCTAATATACTACTTTTCTTGCTTTATTTCATGTCATCCCATACAATATGCCACATTCCAACCAAAGAGTAATGCTCAACAAGCCTACACATATCTTGCTCTTCCTGCCTATTGTTTTGGTCACATTATTTTGCAAATGATTTTGCATCTGCATTTTCCACATTCTATGTGGACACAATCAAATACCATCTCTCCTATGAATCCTCCCCTGAATTTCCCAAACCATGGGTAATCTAATCTGTCCTCTGTACTTACAAAACTCTTACCTCCTTTGCACTTTTATAGTACTCGTTACACAAAACCTTATTTACCTTTCCGTTCTTTGACAGCTCCACCAGAGACCATCTTCCATCACTGGATTTCTACCCAACACCAGCTTCCATCAGTATCTACACAGCATCAATCAGAATCAAAAACGCGACATCATGGAACCCTAGCCCTTGGAAAGTGTCCCTACAAAAAGAGCAGAGCCATTTCTCCCCACCAGCTGGCTCAGAAGTTTCCACCAGAAACAGCAGAATGAACAGGTAAGCATCACGCGCCATGCACAACTCCCCTACCTACCTCCTGGGAAATAATCCAGTGCAGCCCCTGGGCAGACTGAACCCTCCCCCCCACAACAAAACTGAAAAACAAAACCAGGAAACTGTAATCTAACACTAACAGTGGAGGTGGGGTGGAACGCTGAACCTGCCCCAAAGAACTGGGGTGGGCAAGAAGCCAAACTCTCAGGACCAAACTCTCAGTGAACAAATGCCTATAAAGTAGCAAAGGCTGGGAGCTGGAGTGGGCAACAAGCCAATCTCCCAGAGGAGCCACCAGAACCCAGTAGGGATCGGGAAAGGCATGAAGGCTGAGAGTGGGAGTGGGGTGACAAGCCAACCGCCCAAAACAGGGCAGGAAGTGGATCCCAGAGCCAACTCTGGGACAGAGGACAGCATTCAAAACTGAATTGACCCACCTAGCTGAGGTAGGAGCTGACCAAACAGAGCTGCAGCTAAAGGGTAACAA